GTTGTCTTTGGAAATAGTGTCTTGGGTTTTTGTCAGACTAGTTTTGCCCCGCAGTTTGGTCGGTATTTCCAACAAAAGACGTCTTCTGTCCTAGCGCTGTCATTTATGAGATAATAAGAGCGATCATACCACACCTTATTTGTCGCACGACGAAATATAGAACCACGCAGCGTCACTGCTGACTGGAAATCGGCTGTCACAATCAGATGGAAGGCGAGTGTCTCTGTAAAGGTATGTCTGCATCTCCAGAAGATAATGTACGGACTGGCTGACGAGCTGCCCTCACCATGTAGCGGTGAAAGTCCGCGTGAACGACGATGAACTCTTCTCTGGGAGGCGCCGTGGGCACATCTGCCACTGTGCAAACTGCCGCAAAGTAGCCGGCGGGATCTGTACGGCCCCAGTCCCTCAGTCCGACTCTAGGCTAGGCTTGAGGCGCAAGCTGACTGTCGCCTGTACTGCTGCTTAGTCGGCGCCAATCTCCTGATAGAGGAAGCTAAGGTCGAATTTCCTAACGGGAAGTACGGGTTGAAAGTCTATGCGGTATGAAGACTATGTCCACTATCAAAGACATCAAGATTGGATGTTCCCACTAATCCCAGCAACCAACATATAGGATCCAGAAACATTGAGCGGAACCCCGTTGAATAGGTGCTTCTGCGGGAAATGCGGGTGTCCTATCTTCAGCCAGACACCATTATATAAAGACATGATCATACTTAAATTGGGAATCTATTCCGATGTTCCGTAAGTTTACACACATCTTCTCCAGTCACTAATTAATAATGCTCGGATCCGAATGTGTCGAATGTTTCTAACAAGTTATTCTGGCTCACACAGTGAGCCAGAATGGGAAAGCTTTGTCAAGGATAAGCAGAGCTGGGAGAAGCCATTTGAGGGCACTGTTCAATATAGGGGGAAAAGTAAGGGAGAGAAGATGCCGGACAGTATTTAGGAACACGAGATTGTCTCTTGGAAAATAGCAACTTAGCTAGACCCTAGGCATACTTGAACAGGAGTCTTTAAGGTGAGGGTATGGTTTGTTGAGTTTCCTTTGTGGCTTGTAAATGTGGGTAGTGCTCAAATAGCCTGAATCACGAAAATGGTGTGTTGAAACGTCTGCAATGGTCGAACATGCGTTGGACGCCAATCGTTGTCCATGGACGATGACAACCTATCTAAATAAAGTCGTGATTGGCATAAAATATCGCACTCTGCTTTTACACAGTCCCTGTCGTTTTTTCTTACTCCTGGGCCAAGCCAGGGATGTGCATACCCAACCCAGGGGCTGGCTCAGCGATGGTATTCAGTAGGCAGGGAGATATTGTAATCGAAGGCGTTGTTCGGGTCCCAAGTCTTCTTCAAGGCCGCCAAGCGAGGCAACTTCCTGCGACCATAGATCTGCTCGAGCGTTTCATCGCCCTGCGAGTAGCTGACATAGACAGCGTCATCGCCGTAGCCGCCCGCCTTGGACAAGCTGGTGCGGAGCTGGCAACCGAGCTGGGCCACAGCCCGGGCTGTACCGCTGTCTACGTCTTGCCAGCTAAAGAGGCAGATGCTATGAGTGGGAGACTTCTTGTTAGCCTGACTCTAAATAAGTCATTACCGGGCTTACCAACATACATATTATTCCTGGCGTCCCGCCAAGGGTAGGCCGTCTCCTCGTCTGGAACGGCGGCCATGGCCTGATTAGGGAAATGTTCCATCTCGATAGAACTGGCGCGGGCGTCCGGGTGAGCGTTGTACAGTGCGCGCATATTCTCGAAGGCATCCAGCAAAGCCGGACCTGAAATCTTTTTCATGTTGGCCGAATACGCACTGCGGATGGCGCTGTCGCGCTGGACCAGGGGAACGAAGCCAAAGCCCGCTGTGTGTAAAAGCTTGTTGGTGGGAATGTTCTGAATGACGATGACAGGTGGTCCCAGTGCCAGCAAGGGGGCAATGACACGACGGGCATGATCCTCGGGCCCCATGTAAGCCCATGTGCCAAGAATCTGGGGCGCTCCGTGCTCCGGGTCAAACATGACGATGGAGGCAGGGGCGAGCTTGCGAGGCAAGCGGTCTCCACCAAAGTGCGTCTCCAGCATATCGAAATAGGCCGGTGCCATGGCTGCCGGGAGCACGAAGTCGATGTTGGTCACGTTGCCCCGTGAATGCGGGTCGTCGGCGATCCGGTAAATCCGGTATGTCGCCGATGTCACGACGCCCAAGTTGGCCCCGGCTCCACGCATGCCCCAGAACAGGTCCGGCTCCGACGTGGCCGACGCCTCAACCGTCACGCCCGCTGCCGTCACCACCCGGAGAGGTATCAGCGAGTCGATCAGCAGCCCGTAGATGCCGGAATAGCGGCCTACACCGCCACCCAGTGTCGTGCCCACGATCCCGGTGGCCGAGCATGATCCCGTCGCTGTTTTCCCAAGCATCAGCCACATCAGCATGTGTAGTACCCTTCGCCTGCAAGCCCCGGCAAGTTCACTTACGAAGTTCAAAGCCTGCCTCAAAGAGTGGGTCAAGCACCTCGCCTGTGGTCACACCGCCTCCCACCGTCAATGTTTCCGAGCTCGTGTCCAGTTCGATGCTGTTCAGACGTCGAAGGTCCATGGAGAGACCATTCTGAAGCTTGCCATGCGCAGCGCTATAGCCGTGGCGTCCGCTAGTGGCAAGAAATGGGATATTATGCTTCGCTGCGAGTTTAACCTAGTGGTGCATCATTAGGTTAATTCTCATCCCAGTCGCTTGGCTAAGACAAAAGAAATGAAAGGCAAGAAAGGGTGACTTGTTGGGCTTTGAAATTCCCAGAGTCGATTGGACCAACGCACCACCTTGACTACGTCTTCCTCCGTGCCTGGGCTGATACAGGCCATGTAGGTCGGGGGCTTGTAGATGGCCCACCGCGTCGTCGCCTCAGCGAACTTCTCGTCGCCTGGGAACAGGGTCTTTGTACTGGCAGACCAGCCGTTGCCACTGTCGGTCAATATTGTCTTGATGTCAGTCATTTCATACTGTCGTTTTGTAATCGCTGCAACAGCGCGCAGACTGTGAGACAATAGACGCGGTGTTCATCGATCCAACTTCAAGTTTATATACAAGCGAATCCGACTGTCTGTGTCCGCGCAAGCCATGCTGTGGATCGACCGGTCAAAATCAGTGACATCCAATACCAGCCCCATGGTGATGTAGCAAATCCTGTAGGCCGTCAGCATACCAAGTGAAAAGCTACACACCACCGCGTAGCCTCGGCACTCGATGTCCCTTTTGGGACATCCGACAGGGTACCAATTGTCACTTGCAGCCTGCCCCTTTCCCAGACCGTAGAGTGCTTATGATCACAGAAACATGACCCCCAAGCTCTGCACAGTAAGTATTTTGGAGCCGAGTCTTCCGCCCAGCTAGCTCTAGAGTGACCACCCTCGGACGCTGCTTGGCAAACACTGCGGAAGGCCAGCAAAATGCTCGCGGCCCAGGCCCGCGGCAAGCAAATCCGGGCACTGCATCTCTTGTCGTCGCAAATGAGCATTCTCGCAGCCTGTTAAAGGCCAGGAGTTGAGTCGGTGGGCTCAGTATGACTTGTGGGCAATCTGGCTACGGCCATGGAAACGATCTCAATTGCCAGCCGGACTTGACTTGAAGTCAAATTAGGGCATGGGTGTAGGGCCGAGATTGGCAGCACAGAAGAGGGGGTTGTGTGCACCAACGGTGGAATCCCGCTGCGTGGGTTTGGGCTTCTAGATCCTTCACGGCACGGCGACGCCAACCATGCACGACCCAGCCTCTATGTATGGAAAACGAAACGCTACCCCCCCCCCTTGTCATTTTAACTTACGCTCCCCCTTTTGCATAAAAAAACCTTGGCGCGCGCGTAATTATATAGCATTTACGCTATTTGTTACTTCTTAAAAAAGCTTAATTATAATAAAAAGAAAACCTTTATATTTTTAATTATTATAAATATAATATAATTTATTAATAAATAATTAATTTTTTTTAACTTTATTTAATTTTAATTAACTTTAATATTTATTTAATATAAAAAATTAATAAAAGTTAATATTAATTAATATTAATTACTTTAAATTTCTTATTTTTAATTAATTTTATTAATTTAAAAGAATTAATAAAAATATAACATAATTAAAAGTTATTAAAGTTTATATAAAATAATTGTTTTTAATATTAATTATATTTTATTATTTTTATATTAATTTTACTTAAATTTAATTATTTAAATATTTAATATATTAAAAATTAATAATTATAATATATATTATTAATTAAAATATTTAAGGATTTTAATATAACTTTTTAATATAAAAATATAATTAACTTATTTTTAATATTATAAAATATAAAATTTATTAATAAATATTAAATTTATATTATAAACTAGCCTTAAATTATTTATAAAAAGTATTTAAATAAAGTTTATATTTAAAAAATAAAGGAAAAGGTTTGCTTTTTATTTATATTTATATTAAAGCTTATTTTTATAACGTAATTTATTATTAAGTAATAAATATTATTAAGTAGCGGATCTTTTTAACTTTACTTAACTTTTATTAATTAAAATATTATATTAAGGTAAATAAATTAATAAAAAATTAGTATTAATTAATATTAATTATATTTAATTCCTTATTTTTAATTAATTTTATTAATTTAAAAGTATTAGCGTAAATATAATATTAATTTAAAGAAATTAACCTTTAATAAGAAATATGTATTTAATATTAATTAATGCTAATTATATTATTAAAAATATAATTTACTATAAATTAATAAAATAGTTATATTTATATTAATTAATGTTAATTAAGCTAAATTTATTATAATATAATTAAAATTTAATTAATTAAACCCTTTTTTATCTTTCTTATAAGTTTTTACATTATACTTAATTTTATTATAATTATTATATTATTATTTAATTAATTTATTATAAATTGCTTCCTTAGCATTATTATTTATTTTATTAATTAACCACTTTCCCTTTTATTTCTCTTAAATAAAAGTTTAAAATTCCTTAATAATAAATACTTTTTTAAGCTATACTTAAGTTTTTTTAACCCTTTAACATTTAATAAATATTATATTAATATCTTAAAGCATATAAATTTATTTATTTATTATAATAAGTAAGTATATTATTATTTATATATTTTTTATTAATTAATTAATAGCCTTTATAATTAATATAAGGAAACTTTCTTAATAAATAAAAATTTTATTTTTAATAAAACTTAATTATTAAATAATTTATTAAGCATTTAATAATATTTAAAACTTTTATTTTTAAAAAAGAAATAAAAAAGAATTATATTAAAGTTTATAAGTAAATATTAAGCTTAAAAATTATAAAATTAAGATTTTAAGGAAAAAGTTTAACTTTTTTAAATATAAACTTAATATTTTTATTATAAAGGTTTTATTATAAGCTACCTTAAATATAAGAGAAAACTTAAATTTAATAATATAATTAATAAAGGCTTAAATAAAAAGGTTAATTTTATTATTATATATATATTTTAAAGATAAATATAATATAATATTTAATAATTAAAGTAAATAAAATAAATATAATAATATATTAATAATAATAATTTTATTATCCTTATAATATTAATTAAATTTAATTAATATATAGCTTTTATAGCTATTTATAATTAATATTTAATAATTAATATTTTTCTTTAACTTAATATATTTATTAAAGTATTAAATTTATTTTAAATTAATTTTATTATTTATTTATTTATTAAAAATAAGCTTAATAACTTAATTATTTTAAAAAACTTAACTTTATTACTTAATTAATAAAATAATAATCGCTTTAAATAATTATAAATATTAAAATTTATAACTTACTTATATTAATATATTTAATAAAAATTATTTATTTTTAATTATTAAATTAAATTAATTTAACCTTTTTATATTTATTAATATATATAATAATTATTAATAAGGTAATTATACTTATTATAAAGCTAATTTTATTAAAATTATAAAGGCTATTATTAATAATTTAATATTTAATTATTATATTATAAAAAAGCTTAAATTAATTCATAATAATCTTTAAATCTTTATAAAAAGCCTTATAATAATTATAAAAATAATTAAATTTATTTTTTAAGCTAAGTTATAAATTTATAAAGCATTAAGCTTAATACTTATTTATAAGCTTATTATTTTAAAATATTAATAAAAGGTTAGCTATATTTTTTATATTAAAAAATTATAAAGAAACTCTTTAAGCATTTTAATGAATAATATATTAAATAAATATTTACTGTTTAATTAAGTTAAGTTTATATTATTTAATGCATAATTCTTTAAAATTATATTATTAATTTATTTTATAATGTAAAGTTATTTTAAGGATATTAAAAATCTTAATAACTTAAGTTATAAGCAGGGATTTAATGTAATTGTTTTTAAAGTATTAAATAACTTAAATAATTAAAAGTATTTTATTTTCTTTAAATAAAGAATATATATTTTTATTATTAATTTTTTATATATTAAATATTTAAATAAATAAATTAATATAAGATTAATATAAAAATTAAGGATATAATTAATATTAAAAACAGCCTATTTTATTAAAATCTTAATAATCTTTAATTATATTATATTACCTTTAACTTTTTTAAATTAATAAAATTAATTAAAAATAAGGAATTAAATATAATTAATATTAATTAATGCTAACTTTTTATTAATTTATTTACCTTAATATAATATTATAATTAATAAAAGTTAAATAAAGTTAGAAAAATCCATTACTTAATAATATTCGCTACTTAATAATAAATTATATTAAAGTTAAAGCCTATTAATTAATTATAATAAGCAAAGCTTTAAATAATAATACTTTTTTTTTAAGTTTTTATAATAAGCTTAAAAAAGTAGTTATTTAATAAAAAATAAAGAATATTATAATTTAATTATAAATGGAATATTAACCTTTATTTAGCTATTTAATTATATTTTAATGCTTTTTAAATATATTAAAAGCTTAACTTATTTTTTATAAATAACGCGCTTTTAACCTTTATAATTTAATATATTAAATAATAAAAGAATAATTTAAATATAACTTAATTATTAAATTAATAGCATTTTTATAACTCCTTAAAATAAATTATTTATATATATTCTTTTACTTAAAGTTAAAGAATTATAAAGTTATTATATATTTTATAAGGTTAAATTAATTAATATATAATTAATTTAATTTATGCTTAAGTTAATATTAAGTTAATAATATTTTAAGCTTTATTTTATAAAAATTTATATATATTTTTAAATAAACTTTTTCTTTTTATTAATTTTAATTAATAAAAGTTATATTTTTATTTTTTTATAATAATTTAAATAATTATAATTATAATAATTAAGCTTATTATATATAAAATATTTAATTTTACTTATTAAAATTATTATAATATTAATATTTATTATTTTATTATTTTAAAATTAAGTAATATTTTTTATTATAATATTAAAAATATTTTTATATTATTATATAGTAAAATAAAAAGCTTTAAATAATTTTAATTATTTTTTATAATTAAGCTAAGCTTTTATTATAAAAATTAAATTATTAATTATAAATAATATTTTATATTTACTTAATTAATTTTAAGTTTTTATTATATAAATTAATTAATTAATTTAAATAAAAAGTTTTATTATTCCTTTTTTATAATATTATTATAATATAATTAAGTTAAACTTAATATATTTTTATTTAAAAAAATCTTTAAATATAAAATATAACTTTTTTAAAAAGCTTTTTAATTATTTTTAAATATTTTTATAAAATTAATATAAAATAAAAATTAATTATAAAAAGTTTTTAATTAATTAAATATATAAAAGAATTAAACTTTTTTAATATTAATTATTTCCTTATTTATTATAAACTTAATCTTTATTTTTATTAATTAAATTATTAAATATATTTAAGATAAAAATTCCTTAAAATAAAGAA